GTTGACGCCGACTATGAGGTCGTCACATTTCCTCGCTGTTTGCCTACCCGTGTCTTGTCGTCACACCGATCAAAGCATGAAATTCAATACTATAATATTAAAGCCAGAACGTTCCCGGAAACGACTCATCACAAATCCGTCCCAAACCAGACGACCGGCGCCGCACCGTCAATTAATTAATCTTAAAGTCCTATAAAATTCGGTCTCGGCATTTCAGAAATTAAAACCCGTTTGAAATTATTATAATATTACATTAACGATGGAAGCGAAACAAATTTAAATCTTTTTTCAGGGCGGATAAAGGACAAAGACACATAGTATTTTTAGTGGGAAAAAATTATCTTGTGTGTCACATTAAGTGCAGTGTTCGGAAGTGAAGCGTTTGCGAACTTATTTCTCGTCCCTTATAAATTATATATATTTACTTTTAATGGAAAAACGTTCTTTGATTTTTCGACTTAACAAACTAAATTAGTTGAACACATATTTTTTGACAGATTTTAAATCGGACCGCTGCTAGTAATATTGTAAAATCGTTCTCTCTCAACAGTTTCCACTAGTATAGATTTAAGATTAGTAGTGTTAGGTGGGCGATTTCAAAGAGAATTTGAAATAGTTTCGAATTTTACGTGATTTTAGTTCTATTTCTAGACGTACATGGTGTTTTGTTAAAAAGGGGGCTTGCCACATAATTCAAATTGTTCAGAAGGAACGAAATAGTGTTTTTAAAAATGATAACGTTGAAATCGGCTGATCTCAGATATATATTCACATGGTATGCATGTTGATAATTTGATAAAACTTATCATTGAAACGCTTAAGCATATTATGTGAATTATATTATTGTCATTCGAAGTGATTGTAGTCGTGGCATGGGCCCTTTTATAATATTCAGATTCTTGAACGCATTTCTATCATAACCACTAATAATTGTATGGTAAATGCTCTTTTAACATTTCAGTATAAATATTTTTTATTTTGTTCGGATGTTTGGCATCCAGCCTTGCATAGAAAGTAACATCAATATTTTTAACCAACTTTTTTACAGATAATCGCCCAGATTTTTTCAACAAATTTTTATACCAAAGTGTCACTTTTCGATTTTTGGGATATACGCCATTTTAACAAAATACCATCGTACTGCATAGACATTCCCTATTATAGTATAATACATTTTTAGTATTACAAAATATTTTCTGCTTCAAGTGCCTCCAACAGTCTCAACAACGGACTGTTTATATTATTATCGCTTTTAGGTATTTAATTTTACATTAATTATTGTCTGTCAAATCACGATTTCGTTAGTTATCAGTTTATCACTTTAATAATAATATCGTTTTAACCAAGGGTTGAAACTGATATTTTGGATACCGATTTTTAATACCAGTTAAGACCGTTAAAAACCGAAAACGAAATTTAAAAAAATCAATGCCAGTAATCAAAACCAAAATTAAAATCGGAAAAAATAAAAACTTAAAAATTTAAAAAAACTTATAAAAATTCAATAGTTATTCGTCTTTCGCTTTAAATTTCTCGACGTAAGTTGTTGTTTCCAACAGGTGAAGTTTCGTTTGACTCCACCATACTAAACGAACAATCTTTAACCGCCGGTTATTTAGCGGTCAACATATATCCATCGTTCTAAAATTATTTGAAAAACGTCCGGTTTGAAAACAGATTAGAGCGCATATTAGATTTTCCGAACGAGTTTCATTTTCCAATACATTTATGAAGCTGATTTCCCAACACTCCTCGACGATTTTTTCGCTTAGCACGACAGTTGTCAGTGTACACCTATGATAATACGTCGTGTATCGTGACAATTCTAAAATCCATCACGGGACTCGGCCGGCGGCGGAGTTCAAGAAAACACGAAAAAACAGACAAAACAAAACAATGACATTTATTTTTATTTCAGTTTTTTTTTTATTAGACCCGTCATAGTTTTTGTCGGGTATACCCAAACCTATTTGTTATATAAGGACCGCTGAAATTGGCAGGTGTCCCATCGAGTATTTTGTCACGGGCGAGCAGGGGACGGACGGACGCCGACCCCAAGACGACCGGACTTGCGACAGATGACAAACGATCTTCGTAGATAACACCCGTTTAATTAGTTTTTGCTGTGTTGCCGTTGTGTGCTTAGCACAATGGAAGTGTATTTTGAGATAAACCGAAACAAAACAAAAAACGACTGATCAACCGCAGCCGTCTACAGATATATATCTATATATTATGCGTTATGGTTTTTTAAAGTTTTTTTTAAAACTTCAACAACTTTATTCATTGTTCGGCGAGATAAATATGTTTAGCAGAGCAGTACGCGTACTATTTCTATTCTATCGAACACGCCATTTTTCTCGATTTCATATTATATTATTTTATTGCTCCGAATTTCCGCCCCGCGTCATTATATTATTTCAGTCCTATTAACACACGATTCGCTATCTTTGCAGGTCACAATGCAAAAAAAAATAATATTTTAATTTATTTAATTGTCCGAAAAAAAATGGTATAAAAAACGATTTAGTCGAATTATCGCCGTGGAGAATTGCAGTGCTATTATAAATTTTATCCGTAACTGTTTTGACAGTTGTGTTCGGTTGGTGAGCGATCGATGGGCGCCAAGTCAGAATCGTCGACGACTTTTTAGCAAAATATAGCGTTTATACGCTTGCGATTGTCTGCCAAAAAACAAATAATATTTATCGTCTTTTTTTATCGGCAGTTAACTATTACGATTAACCGTCGCTTCAATCAAATAGCCCTAGAACAGTAACCTCGGTATCATAATATAATACCATACCGTTGTTGCTAACCATTTGCCAAGCAGTACGAACCTATACGGACGTATAATATTCCCACACAGCATAATACAATTTCCTAACTAGTATGGTAAAAATATTTTCAAAAAAATAATGTAGCTATCAAAATATTTTAAAAAGTTGAGCAAATAATTAGGAAATGTTTTAGTTATATTCTTCGGCCAAGTAGTTGTTTATATTTTTGAAAATATTTTATAAAAAAAATTTACAAAATAATATTTTATTCATATATTTTATAAAAACATTTATAAGGAAACTTTATAAAAATATTTAATCAACATTTTTATACAATCATACAGTACTTTTTTTTGTCATAATCAGAAGAAAATATTTATAAAATATTATTATACAAATATTCATTATTCGAGCACTATAAAATATTCACAAAATATTATCATTTCTCAAATGTTGTGTGGGTTGTTGACACGGTTTTGGCAATTTTTTGGCGTATAAAAATTTATAGAAATACAAAAAAAAACCTACATAATTGAGCAATTTTAAATTTTGAACTATAATTTTTTTTTAATAAAGCTATTTTATGGTTACTATAGTATTATGCAACGTCTTGTTCAGTGCTGTAAAGTACTTGAGTTAACTACTCAAATGCCTATTTAAAATACATTTCAAAAAATGAACTACCACTGCAGTGAAGCATTTTTAAGTTCCACCAAATGATACGGTGTGAAATATATGCAAACTAACGTAAGACATGAAAATCGGTTCAGATGAATAAGGTAGAAAAAAATATTTTATAAAAACTCGAAATTTGAATGTATAAATACTTTTTTAAAGTATTTGTACTTAAATTACTTTTTTTGCCGAGTATTCACATAGGTATTTTAAATACTTTCCAAAATGAGTAACCATGCCTATATTTTGTACTTGAATACTTTTAAAAAGTGAGAATTGTAAGACTATTGTTAATCTGTTAACTTAGCTGCTTCATAATAATAATCATAAAGGTCGCTGTTTACTGCTTTTTGATAAGTAAAAATATTCGATAATAATAATAAATGTAATTGGTAAACCCGTTGGTACAATAATCTGCTGTTTCCAATTTGACATTATCTATACTTAAATATTACGATTGTAGAGATTCAGTATTTTTACTAATTGAACATTTTTTTTTTTAGTTTATCAATCCAAAGATTTTTTTTTAAAAAATTTTCACAGTAAATGTCTTCTCCATTTTTCTCTATCATTCGCCATATTTTTGAGCTCCCTGTAGGAAGAGGGACTCCTGCGTCCTGCATTATTTGGCTATTAATATTCGTACATATATTTGTATTTATTTATATTGGACATTAATGTGCTTACAATAAGCCTGGGCACTTGTAAGTTTAGTAATCATAATAATTATTGGTGTAAATATACGTTAAAATAATAAATTAAAAAATGACCCGTGAATTGCGAAATAATTCAATAACTCTCCCTCTCCCCCCCCCACACGAGTTTCCTATCGCCGTTGAATTGTTTACCCGGAACCGGCGGTGTGGTATATAATAATAATATATCGTAGAAAACTCGGGTCGATGGAAAATGTGTGAAAAACATTTACGTCGTCTATCAAGTAAAAGGCGCGTCGACAAATTTGAGAATCATGACACGGCGATAAATCATGTCGTACCGAATCCGTAATGTTCTACATCGACATTGTCTGATCGACCTATTTTTGGTATTTTTTTGACTCCTCGTAGCGTCATATCCGGAGACAATATAATATAATATTCTTGCAGTGCTCCTCCGGAAACTGCCAACTCTCACTGTTTAAAACACCTACGAAACAAATCGAGAACTTCGTCTCGAATATAATAATAATATAGTGCGCCAGTCGTGGACTGTCGCATAGTTGGGCGCATTACAGTTAAAAAGTCAAATATCTTAAGCTTTTTAACCCGACCAGTTGGTTGATTTTCAAATCAACTCGAGAACTGCTTGAGAATACTTTCGATCGACAGTCGAAATAAATTTAGCTGTTTTCAGTTGATTCAAAAACAATCCGTCAAGCCAATATTGAAATTAGAACATTTTCTCTAAACGTTTAAAAAAAAAAATTAACTAACACTGTAAATGCTATGTAGTTATAACATTATAACTTCCGTTAAGTTTATTTTGTCAAATTTAACTAGTGCCATCAGAGTACCGATTTCACATTGAAAAAAGTACCGAGTAGAACTATTTATTTTTTGCAAAACCGAGTAACTTCAACACCATTGCTTTCCAAGTCAACTTTAAACTTGGCGATTTACATCCATTACTCGTCAATATCGTTAACGACTGTAAACATATTATAACTTCTGCAGTCTCTGCGATCGGGCTCGTCCACTCAACCTGCACCTTTCCTCCGCAGGTGCCCCCAAAAATCGCTTCGGTCGGCGTCGTAGTCTGATCGAAAATGTTTTCGTTTTGCAGTTCGCCAAACTTCGGAGGCGGCTCGTCCTCGAAGCCCGGCCACGCGGCCAGCGCCGACGACGTGTCGGCGGCCGCGAGCAGCCACCACCACCACGGTGGGTCTTCGTCCGCGACCAGTGCCACTGAGCACTTGTTGCACAAGGACATAGCGGCTGTGGCGCAGGGAGGATGGAACGTGACCAAGTCACTAATGAACGTCAAGGCGGAGGAAGACAACGTGAGTATAATATATACCCACCGACTTACGATAACTGTTAACATAATGGTAACGTGGTTTAGCGATACCTTTATACCATAGAAGGTTAGTCGGCTCGATCCGGGTGAACCGACATTAAAAAACTTACCTTACTGTTATAAAAATAATGACGGTACCTAATATATACGCCGCCACATATTATAATTATATATACGCGACGATTCCACCCTCTCTCCCACCCTCCCTCCCAACCTCTTCATCAGCCGACAGGTCGAGGAAGCGTGAGGCCGGCCCGATGGGGTGTCTGAAGGCTAGTATGTAAAAATACTAATTTTACGAAAAAAATTTAATTAATATTTATGTATATATATATATATATAATTTAGCTTCTAGTGTGATTTTTTTGTGGTTGAATTTTTCCCGCTAGTTCGTTTATATCCGTTTTCATATTGGATGTTGATATTCTTACTACTGCATACACGTGTTTATCGCTTGATCGTGAACAATATTTATTTTTCAAAATTTAAGTATTGAAATTGTCTAATCACAAATATAAGTGCCACCGAAAGCAGTAATCATTCTTTTAGCAAAACATTTTCTATTTCAGAAAGACCTGAATAAAATATTTTTAGGTCATTACTTTCTTTAAAAGCATTTTTAAGAACACCGTTGTTTGGCAATTCTATGACTTCCATCTGTAAATTAGATTCAACATCGTCAATGTAAACAGAAAAAGGGTTTTGAAACAAGTTGATTTTTTTCTCTTGTACGTAAAAATAAGAAAATCGTGTTGAAAATTAATTTTGCGTGTTTTCAATTATATTTAAAAAGTTAATTTTTATAATTTTCCAATATAAATTTGATTCCAACGATTCTAATGCAATTTTACAACATACAAAATGATCCAAGCACTGATCATTAATATGTCTGTGTAATAATTTTAAATCCATTTACATTATATACGATTAGACGAGGACCTAGATTACGTTCTCCCTCATACCTTATCCCACTCTAATAGTCATGATTAAATTTTATTTATTACAATTCAAGATAAAAAATTACAATTTTAATCACCATGAAATTAATCTGAAGGGGCACAGAAAAAAGTTAAGAGGGCCGTGGGTTGCCGGTGTGCCAATAGACTTATACCAATAGACAAGTACAATGTACATAACAACAGTGGCTATATGACATAAGGGCCAATCTAATATTATACAATTTCTATAATAGTTTAGGCTGAAAGATCTAAAAATAAAAAATAAATATTATACAAGGTGTAACAGAAAGACTAACCAAAAAAAAAAAAAAAAAAAAAAATTATGCTACTTAAACGTATATGACAAAAGTTGTTAAAACTATATGATTAGTAAATAATTTAAGAAATATACTACTCATGTTAGAAATTTCCCAAAAAAGAATATTTTGAAGAAAATTATTACGTTCCAAATAAATTTAATTCAAAAAAATATTTATATTTCAAAAAATTCTAAAAAATAAACTACTTGACTTAGATAAATGTCTTTACTATAAAAGTTGTTCTTATAGTTGGATTCACAAATTAACTATATTTAATATATTATTCAAAACAATTTAACTCAAATTTTAATTTTTTATTATCAGTGTTAAAAAATAAAAATAATTTGTAGTATAATATATGCGTAGTGCAAGCGACTATAAATTATTATAATAAATTTTAAATATTTATTAGAACAAAAGTTATTCCTAAAGTCAGTACCTGGTATATCTGCTCTATAACCAATATACATAAGCGCCGAATGTGCATAAAATATAACATAATATAGTTTGGGCCAAAATTAATATTTTATATAAGTAGTTGTTTGTAAATTTCAATCTTATAAAAAATTGTCTATAATAAATTGTTAAAATATAATGTACATATTATACATAGGTACAAATAAATACAATTTGAATAAATCGGTTTATTTTTTGATTTTATAAAAAATTGTTAAAATAAAATATATAGTTCTAAATGTAATATAAAATGTTTTTTAATATCTATTAATTGTGGCACACAAGTGTCTAGGATTTTGGCGCTCACGTATGATAAGATTTTTGCTCTTTCGTACGATACAATTTTTTTTTCTTATCTCATTTTGGCGTTTATGTTTTCCACCGACAACAGAATTGGTAACACATCTCGCAGTGGTGTAGCTGACGACAAAATACAATAATATATAATATATTCTATACATCTATCGTTGGACAATTGCGTCTGAACAATATTGACTTCGATAAAAATTATGTTTCATTCGGTTTTATTTGACTTAATTTTTTTTTTCATATTTGTAGGTAATTGGGTAAAAAAAAATAAGTAAATTGTAACAAATTTGATGTTTTCAAATTATTTTTGAAACTCTATGAAAGCGTTACTACTTTGCTGCAGTGACGCTAAGGTTAGTAAAATTTTGTATTTAATAATCACATTAATTCTTATCACTTTTTGGTCGATTTCATTTCATAAAAATTACTATTTTTATTTACAATGCCAATATCTTGAGAAAAAATACAAAAAACACACTAATTAAGTGGTCAATGGATTTTTCAAACAGTAAAAAAAAATTTAAACGGTAAATTTACGAGACCCACAACACTATACACTTAAAGGTACAGTTTAGAATTGAACACAGTTTGATTTTGTTGCATCTCTAAGTGTTTTATGTAAGACCTTGAATATAGTACGTCACAAAGAAATATTAAAATATTATTTACATTTTTATTTTATTCTTAATTGCTTTATGTGTACCACACAATGGTTATTATTATGCACTTAATTCATTTTTTTTTTTAAATTCTGATTTCACATTATACGCAACGACGTTGATTATCTTAGAATTTTTTTTTTCAAATATCAATATTAATACAAATGTATTTAAATAAATAATAAATAATAATACATAAATCTATAATAAAATAAAACTTACCGGTTTTCATTAAACACTGTCATAACGGATTTTTAAAATAATTTATATTTTCTTCATTCTATTTATAACTGTGTTTATGTTATAAGCTTACTAATATGTATTTTTGTGCTACAAAAAAGCCGATTGGGTACTATTTTTTATCCTCAGATACACTTTTTGGACAATTTCTTTGAACTTCCACTCGAGGGTGGTGTTGAGTTGTAATTTGGATCTAGTTGGTACTCTGGGGGTCGAGAATAAAAGCTCTCCAGTAATTTTCAAAATAATGGGGAAATAAAAAAAAGAAAAATTGAAAATAGTTGGAATTTTTAAGCAAAAGCTGTTTTCAATCAAATCGTAATCGGTTATTTTGTTCTAATTAAAAAATTGAGTAATTTTAATTAATCGCCAATTATTTATATCGCTGTATAACTATTTCAGATCTCTGTTTTTCCTCCTTTCATAATCGTCCTTTATTGTTTCGGTCCTTGTTGGTCCATAGATATTTCTTGAACTTTTTTTCGATTTATGATGTTTGGTAAATTTTTTTTCGGGGAGTAAAAATCCATCAATAATATTTCTTAAACTAATTAAAAATATCTTTAGCAAAATATTATCTTAAATAATCGTTTAAAGTCCAAATTTTTACGAAGCTCGTCAAAATCAGCTAAATAATATGTCAACTTTTTGTAACTGAAATGTAAAAATATTATTATTTTTAACACCCAAATTTGTTCAAAAGTACAATAATTTATAATTATAATTTATCACCCAAACTTTAATCTATTTTGTTGTTATTTAATAAATATTAATCACCAATAACTTTAAAATAAAATTTATTTATTCAAACGTAAATTTTAATTATCCTATAGGTACACATTGATCTTTTTAAAAGTAATAATTAGACTATTTTTCCATACGGATTATCTATAAAAAATGATTTAAACATCATAAAAAAAAAAAAAAAAAAAAACAGTTGTTTACAACAGGAAAATATAATTTATGTGCATTAGACTTATAAGTTATAAGTTCATACTGGCAACTCTTATTTATTAATTTTTCTTGTTTAATGAAAATATTGATAACATATTTTATAATAATAATTTTACTCATTTATACTAACAGTATACTTCTACATTTCTATCACTTCTATAGTTCTCAACGCAATATATTTGTTTAATATTTTATTTACAACACAAACTTATACAACAGAGCAAATTGATAAGACCTAAGAAGTGAAAATATTAAACCACATCAAATATCAAAGTTAAAATATCCACGTGTTTTGCACTTTGACAGAACAATAACTATCAGAATTATATTTCATTGATATAATATAATCTATATCATAATGGGAAAAATTGTTGCACGAACCCCTCCAAAATATTAATAATATGTTATTCTTTATCATGATGTAGATAACGGATCAGTTATTTATCATCAATATTATTATGAACCACGATTTTTAAATTTGAAAACGTGGTTAAATTACCCACTAAATTAAAAAAAAAAATTAATAGATTATAAATAAATAAATTACATATTTTGCTAAAACATGTTTGAACAAAAAAACATGTTTTAATCGATTAAAATGGGTTTTTTGATTTTTCTTCTCAAAAAACATATTTCTTATCTCTGGAAAACACCGCTGTTCTTAATACCGAGTAGGCCTAAGTCACAAATGTCAATGTCCAAAATTACAAATTTTTCGGGATAGGAAAAAAACGTTTCAAACGTTTCGTCGGCCTAAGTCCAAAGTCTTATCTCCATAATTTATTGTAATGCTATTACAATTCTTAAAATCATTACGCCGGAGATACGAACATTTCTAACTATCAATTTCACGAAGAATAAAATGATACGATTCTAGTACAATTTTAATCTCCAATAATCCCGAAATCAAAAAAAAAATGGAGTTACGACCTTTGCGAATTAAGCCAACTGACTATATTATTATTCAACTATGATGTCGTAGAGAACTTTCATTGTACGTAATAAAATATCTTTCTTTAAATTTCTTTCTATATTAAAATGTATTTTTAGTCTGGGTAAAAATCTAAATCTACTACGTATTTTTTTGTATCATAAAACTCACAACTTTTGTGATTCCCAAATACACCCACTTTCAATGAACTCGGAAAAATGTAATGAGTACCGTTTTTTCCTTTAAGTATTCGAATTAAGTCATTTTTTTTTTAATCAAGAATTAATACGTTTCTTAAACCATTATTTCGAGTGTTTAAAAAATATACAAATATCGTTCAACAGGACGTTCGCAAATATTGTTAAAACCTTTTATAAATATTTGCATTGTTGACATTTGATATTTAAAACGGCATCGCTCGGAAAAAGAAAAAAAAACAGTTTTATCGATATAGTGAATTGTATAATATTATTATACGGAAACTACCCATCGCGGTGTTAATTACACGTCAAAGAAACTTTTAATTGTATTCATAGTATATTTAAAAATATAATCCTCACGGTTATTCTCAGTAATAATGGCTTTGGAAGGTTAACACATATTTTTTATTTTTTTTTTATATAACAGCTCAAAGTTAGCAGAAGTTGTCCGACACTCGACAGACGTGTTCAAACACGCGATAGCTGAAGGCTTAGGTATACACCTTTCGAACGTTCTCGACCTTTTCATATCATACGATCGATTTTTGAAAATTTTTTCCAACCTCCCCAATGCGATTCTCTACAAATCACGTTTGAGTAAATTTGCGATTGGTTTTTTTTTTATTAGATACTTTGGAAATGTGTCACAACTGTTCATTTTATTAGATATGATGAGCCCTTATTGCACATAACACTCAAGGACATCGGTAAATGGTCGTTATAAACCTCCCTCAAGCCCCCTCAGAAATATTTCGTTTTTCGTTGTTAATTAATATTGTACTTACGACACAAATTTGCCCCTGCCCAAATGCTTTTGCGACGTCTGCCGTACAGCTTACAGGCGACAGCAGAAATATTACTCGGAGCTAATTGTCGATTTTTCAAGTATAATACGAATCACATTACATCAGTTTTTCAACGACCCGTACCTAAAAGCTCCAAACAAGGTCAAGAAAGTCGATTAGAAATATATGTTGCCATGAGTGTTTTCCGCATGGAGATAAGTACCTAGGCACTTGGATGTGCCAATGCATTTAGAGGATATATATAGTGTATAAATCTATTTTAAAACGACATTAAAAATACCTGCAAAACTAGGTCAAAACTATAAATACGACTGTTGGAAAAAAAACCACATTAGAAAAATTTAAAATCACAATTTCGCCTCATAATGATATCGTTAGGAGGGCAATTATTTTTTTGAATTTAATCATAACATTACATTTTTGGAAAAATCCGTCATCCTTTACTTTGTCACACAGTATTTCTCCTGTAAAATTCGAGTGGTGTATTTTCGTCTAGTGTTCCAACGTTTGCCTCTTTTACCTAGTGTTCTTTAGAGCTAACAATATATTACTTAATAGAACGTCTCAGCATCTATGTACCTGGTTATACCAGACTTCAAGACTTATTCTAGCAGAAATATCTCTGAAAAATATAATGCGCCAATAAATAAAATTATGTCAATGGCCAACGATGACAAACCACAGTTCATACTTAGGACTACGATCTATAATTTTTAGTTACTATTGATACTATTATTTTTATCATAATCGTGTCATTTTTGTTAACACACTTAAATTATATTCATAACATTCTCATTAGTATTGTTCCTAAATACCTAATTAAATGTACACTACTGTTAATCCGATCAGTTATATAACATAAAAAAAAAAAATTTGCTCTGCTGTACAGTAGGTTACAAGTGGGTCACTGTATAATGGATGGTATTAAATTTGAATTCAATGATATAATATCATTGTATAAGAAAAACGATTCTGAGCGGAGATGGTATGTCAGTCTAGGTTTAACACATATTATAACATATCTATGGCATTAAAAAAAATTGAAATATAATAACTTCCAAATTAATCATATCACAGTATCCATTAGGTACTTATAACACGTTATACATCAATAAAAAACCCTGATACTATCATAGATATATAATATAGTGTACTTTAGAAGTTTCAAGTACCTACGAATAATATTATACAATCACAACAAAATAACTAAAATAGTTATTTTAGGTTTTTTTTATGTAATTTCATCCAAATTTAAACTTGAAATGACTATAACAATAAACTTTGCTTATGTATTTTTTGGTAACAGAATAAACTACTTACGTGGAATCTTGTTTTAAATTTTCAATCCTTAGATATAAAAGTTGAAAATTTTATAAATTTTTAACTACAAAATAATTATTCAATTTTAAATTTGATACATTTTGTCAAAATTCGATCTTTAAATGCCTATAAAAAAAAATTGTGCCTGTTTATTTTTAATATTTTTCAACTGATATTGTAACAATATAATATCAGGATCATTGTATTAAATTTTTACACTTTTTGACCCAACAGATAAAACTTTATTGATATTCATAGAAAAAAAAAAAAATTGTAAACTGACAATACCTCAAAAAGCTTCAAAATATTTTCAAATTTATATGGTGTATAGAAAATGAAATTTTAAACATTCAGTAAAATTTTCATATATCTACAGTTATTCGTTTTTGAATTACAACAAAATAAGGAAATCGCCAAACGAGAAATCGCGTGAATATCCAATGTTGTAAACATTTAAATTTCAAACGCCCATAAAAATTTAATTTGACTTTCTTATAGGCATTTTTTTTTTTTTTGATAAAGGTAGATAATTTTATCCTACCAAAAACATATATGTAAAATGAGAGCCAAGTTCAATACTATAATATATGCCTTGGTTGTTGACTTCAACGACAAAAGAAGTGAGATCTAAATGGGTGCCAAGTTAGGATAATATATTGAAGCCTAAGGTGTGACTTGGCTACTTTTCATATACGAATTATTATTATAAGTACCTACTAAAACAGTAATGGAAGAGTGAAGATGATTTTCCGAAGAATAAAATAAGAACTCAAAGCTTTAGAACTTGCAAATGCTATAATATATAATTCGTAGCCAAGTCAGACCTTAGGCTTCAATATATTATCCTAACTTGGCACCCATTTAGATCTCACTTCTTTTGTCGTTGAAGTCAACAACCAAGGCATATATTATAGTATTGAACTTGGCTCTCATTTTACATATATGTTTTTGGTAGGATATCATTACTTTTTGTATGTAAATTATTATAACCTAACCTAACCTATCCATGACGTATTTTATAAATAAAGTTTATTACTATATAATATAATTCAGTTACCTACTAATATTAATAATAATATTTATTATAAAATATTTTCCGTTTTACATACGAGTATACGAGTATAAAATATATATGTAAAATTAATATACAATTATTTTAACTATTTTTGAGTATATTTTTAATTATCATAATTTTATTGACTGTAGTTTCTACTGTTGGGTGGATAATTCATAATTTGTAAGAATAATTTTTTAATTATTTTAATTGTAATATTTAAAAAAAATAATATTAATTACATACATAGATAGAAAAAAAGTATGTTGCTGCGCACGGGTCGACAATATCGACACATATTCGGCTAGTCGTATTTTTGGAGCGGCGATGCGGGAAAGGTTATTTAAGTCAACATTACATTACATTACATTAAATTAGGGGCAATTCATTAATAAATTGAAAAATTAAACATAATAGATAAAATAATTGCAAAATTATAATAAAATCAATTGATTAAAAAATTAAAAATTAAAAAATTAAAAATTAAAAATTAAAAATGTTCAAGTTTCTGATTTTTTCCTTTGTATTTACCTAACTACCTATCTGTATGCCAAATTTGAACTTTCTAGGTCATCTGGAACTGGGTTAGAATTTTGATCTATAGGTAAGTCAGTGATAAAAATGACGATTTTCGGACGTTAATATCTAAATAATGGTTTGAAGTGTGTTTATGAAATTTAGAGCACATATGTATCTCGTTAGTCTCAATATATGAGCCAAATTTGACATGTTTATGTGGAATAGTTTTTGAGTTATGAGGGGGTCAAAAGTGGCTCCAAATGGTTCGTGTAATATTACACACGGTGCTGCTCGCCAGTTCTGTTAGCTTGAACTTGGCTTGACACGCTACCGCGTGTCTAGATAATTAATCTTCTATTACATTTTAAAATCTTAGATTTAAAAAGAAAAATTTTTACGAATTCTTAACACCAAATAATTTGCTAATTTTCTTGATTTTTCCATATTTCGAGAATTTTTGGACTTATGCTTATAAAAAAAAACTATGGCTAAAAATATTTAATACTTTTCATCTTAATTTGAAACAATATAGAAGCCCTCTATCAAATTTTCAAGCTTTTTTAACCAACCAATAACATTTTATTTATATTTATAGAATAAAAAACTAAAAAAATTGGAAACTGAAAATGTCCCTAAACAGCTCAAAATATTTTGAAAATGTTATAGTGTTTAGAAAATGCAAATATAAGCAACCAGTGAAAATGTCATCTATATGTCGTAGCCACTTCGTGAAATCGTACTTTTCATGAAAAGATGACCATTTCATGAAATGGAAACGGATATTTTACACTTCGTGAAATTCGAAAATATTTCACAAAATGGTCATTTTTTCATGAAGTGGTCACTCAAATTTAACATCGTGTAATTTTTTTCACAATCTGGTCGTTCACTTTGTGTAATGGAATACAACACTCATTTATTATTACGTATTTATTAAGTACACATATTTTTAACTTTAACAATACTATAAGTTATTTTTATCTATATTTTATTAATTTAACTAAACATTATATTATTATATTTATAACTATTTATATAATACTAATATATATTGTTCATATTACAATAATTTTTTTATTTATTAGAACAGGTAAATGAATTGTGACAACGACTGTTGCATTTTATACTAGCTTTAAAACAAACACATCTTTTGGTTTGACAAGAACTTTTACATGAACAACTTAGGAATCCCTGACCTCCAGATACGACCTGGACAGTTTCACGCAAGGTTAATTCTTTTTGTTTGTTAACCTGTTCAGCTAAAATAAAATTTGCAGTGGCATGCTGCATATTTCCAGAATTGAACCATCCTTTAATTAACCCGTGTGTAGTTCCTACTATGTACATTTCATTTTTTTCTTCAATAACCAAATAATGCTTTATATGGAGAGCGACCTATTATTCGATGATGTGAAGAATTTTTCTGGAATTGAACGAATTTCAATCCTATAGACCACTTTTTGGTATTATTATCTTTCATCCATGCACAGAGCACACCTTTCTTACTATTACAAGTTGCACATACAGATAGAAAAGTTTCAATAGCTGGTCTCGGAATTGAATACTGTTTGGACAGTACCGCACGCATTTTCCCCATACCACCATGTCCCGTACGTATATGGTAAGCACTTAGTTTTTCAAACAAGTCTTCGTATGATACAATATACCTACAAAATATATTAAAAAATAATATTATATTATATTATATTAAAATTATCTTAAATTTGTTTAAGAGCAGGTACTCACATTATATCTTCTTTATCTTCTTTTTTTTTATGTATTAAATACTTTTTCTCGGCCACTGTTAATACATCATATTTTTGTAAAATATAATAATCTCGTCTTTTCTTAGCACCTTTGCTAAAAATAAAAAAATATTATGCATTTATTAAATTTAAACTAAAAAACATTAATCTTTGATAGACTAAGGCGTGTACACTCCCGCCGACAGTTGCGGACAGGTACCTACTACTTGTTAGACTGATTTTGTAATTATTTTTAAAAAAAGTAATGTTATTTGTAACTTCTTACTTTTTAAATAAAAAAGTAAAGTAACGCGATAAAAATATTTATTGTAACGAGTAAAGTAATTTTATACTTTTTAAAAGTAATTTACCCAACACTGGTAATACGAAATATAATACAACAGAATAGAAGACAAATAAATTAACTTATTATGTAGGTAGGTATACTTACGTTGATTTAGCTTCATTAATTTCCACAATTATTGACTCAATTTTTTCAGCCATATATGGTTTTTTACCAGGCTTGTCCAAATAATATCTATCCATTTTTTGGTAAAACTCCATTTTATCATTAAATTCTTCCATTGCGTAGAGGTACGTAGAATTAAAACTTTTAGAAATGTGATCGAACAGCAGTTATACACTGACATACTGCGTGGAATTACCAAAATGCTGATATGACATTATGTGATTATGACTTTAATCAAAAGTCAAAACCAATAAATATCATCTACACATTTCAGATAGTCTGGCGATTAGGCAGGTATAATAGTCATATAGAATAGGTATAGATAATATTTATTGTATTTGAAATCGGCACGTGATTAATAGATATAAATAATAACGTCAAACCAAAAGTTGTGTTTGTTTTAAAGCAAGTATAAAATGCAACAGTCGTTGTCACAATTCATTTACCTGTTGTATTCCATTACACAAAGTGAACGACCGGATTGTGAAAAAAATTACACGATGTTAAATTTGAGTGACCACTTCATGAAAAAATGACCATTTTGTGAAATATTTTCGAATTTCACGAAGTGTAAAATATCCGTTTCCATTTCATGAAATGGTCATCTTTTCATGAAAAGTACGATTTCACGAAGTGGCTACGACATATATACGGTCATTTGTTTTAAATGTACACCAAAAACCAAATTAAATTTTGTAAAAAATTGATTTTGCGTAAAAATTCACGTATTTTCCTTAATTTTTCTTTTGTTTTTCACGTCGCATTTGAAAACTACTGAGAAATTTTTACTTTTGGCCCCCAAAGTACAAACTAGATTTACTTTGCTATCAGAAAAGATACTGTTGAAGAAAATCCAAGCACTTTTACTGTCCTAATAGGTGATGACACACAGAAAAAAAAATAAAAAAACACACATCATTGTAAAATCAATACATTCATCGTTCCAGTCAGAATCTAAAATGGAATGTATCACTATTGTATCATTATTCACAATATATATTTTTTGGTTTTTTTATATTAAATAATAATGTGAATTACTATTGAACATATTTTATTTTATTTTTATGAATTAAATGCTTATATTATCATAATTTTGTGGATCCTAATAAAATTAATTTCGATACGTCATGTAAATCAAAGTATTCGGTATGTATTTTTGATAAGCAAAAAAAAAAACGTTAATTTTACCAAGTGGTACATGAAAATTATCAAATTGTGTTGGTTGTATAAAAAGGTTAAGAACCACTGAAATAGAGTAATATTTACCAAATTTTTTTGAACCCCATTTTCCATTTAACAATGATTATTTATTTTTAAGAAATATAAGTAGTTATTATAGGTGTTTTCCCTAAAAAATATACTCAAATATATTTATTGTCATTCAACGTTTACCCTGCAGAGGTAATCGATTAATTTTTTCAATTGATGATAGTCACTTTTTCGTTGTAAAAAGATGTATATATTTTTTTAAACGTTGATGTACCTACTTATGTAATTCTAAATTTGAACTACTTCTGAGTTGTGAATAATTTAGTACAACTAAGGAATAAGGACAATAATTATAAAAGCGGATGATAAAATAATTAATTTGTTTAGAAGATACTGCGGAGCCTGTAATAGTTTGATAACAATATAATATATTAATCAGAATAAAAATGTATTACAATAATTGTAAAATGTATTATGGAGAAATTGGAGAAGTTTAATACAGTATATGTAATAGGTGCGAGTATTGTCAAGTATGTGGAACTAAGACTGTAATTTATTATCCTTAAAACAACTAACTGAGAACATTTTAAGTGTTCAAATCAAATCGACTCACACGAGTAAAAGTTCAGTGTAGATAACATAAAGTTGTAATTATTTAGACTAGAAAAGAATATATCTCTTATTGAAAAAATACATATGCACTGCAGCAAAACAATCATTGAATGATAGAAAAATTAAGTTTATAAAACATGTTTTAAAAATTAAGAAAATGAAATTATAATTTGAGTCCATTCTCAATGATTAAAGGGATAAGGGAATCTTCCAGTATATAAACAAGGTGTAACAGAAACCTAACAAATGAATAAGTAAAAATTAATTCTGTCTAGTTTAACGTTTGAATAAAATGATGATGATGATGTGTACAATAATTTGAGAAAAAAAATTCAAGATTTTCATATGTCAGAAAATTATGAAACATAATATTTTGAAACATAGTTGTATTACGTTTCGAATAAACTATACTAACTATAAAAAAATAATGACGTTTAAAAAAAACTTAAAATATAATATAAAGTATAAACTATACTTGATTTGTATAAACATTGTTATCATCGTAATTTTTCAAAAAATAAGATTTACAAATTGGCTATTTTGAATTGAACACAATTTAAAATTCGAAACGTTCTTTATTATAAAAATAAGAATCAACAATTTTACACTGTACTTGTAGCGCAGGCGTCTATAAATTAAAATATATATTACAATTTTTTTTTCAAATATTATATCGATTAGATTACTTCGTTTGGCATAATATATTATGTCGTTCTGTTGCACCTCGTCGTATAATTCAATAGTAATTTAATCTTTGACCGATTGGGGGCCGAACCTCATGTCGGTGGACAGGGGTGTACCTAAATAACGGTTTTGTGATTTCAGCACGATCGCTGCCAATCTCTGATCGAGTTGAACAAAGAGCCGCCGGCCGTGCCGTCCGAGAAGGTCGGCCAAATCAATTTTGGACTCGAATACGACTACCAGCAAAACACGTTGATCCTGCGCATAATCGCGGTAAGTCGACAACAACAACAACAATAATATTATGGAAATAACGACGGAAATGGTCATGGTCGGCGGGGGCCGACCCGTTGTGTTTTGCTGATTATATCCGACCATCGGTATACGAAACCAGAGTCGTGCCCCGCATACGGATAATATTATTATTATTATGGTTCTTGCCATAGTGTTTACGGCGAAGAGCTACTTCCTCCGAATAATTATAGGGCAGCACACGATCGTTTGTCGATAAGGATTTAAGCAGAATATTATATGGGTACCTCTGAAAAACGAAATCTCGACTCGATGGCGATGGCGATGTCGTGCGCAAAGTTGTCAAATTTATTATGGCGTCCGTTTCTCCACCGACCCACACCATTTCGAATTTCAAACTTTTTTTTTTTTTGTCTAATTATTTAACATGCGATTGAAGTGACTAGTTTTAAAAATTGGCTTGCCACAAGATCGAGTTTTTAAATAAAAATTAGGTGATTGTGTGTGGGGGGGGGGTGGTTTTCAGAAAAGTTTCTACAGCCTCCCCTTCGTCCAAATTTTTAATTTTAAGGTTATTTTCACTCCGATGATTTGCATCGATTCGCGTGAAATATTTCGAAACCGTACACCTAAATCCCAAGACCCAGCCACCCTCCAAACGACGAAAAAACTTATTTCGAATTTTTTTATGTACTTAAAAATATTTAAACAATAATATTGTATACTATTGTATTAGTAATACATTTATAATTAATATAAAATATTGATAATAAATTAATAATTTTTAAATATTAATATAAGGAAATAATAAATACAATGAGAACATCCATGATCAAGTAATACATCATAATGAAATACCTAATTAAGAAATAAATAAACATTTTTTAAAATAATTGTTAAAAATAATTTATTATAAATTGTCTAAATTGTAATCCTTGGACATCCACAATCTACCGATTTTAATTATTGAATTATTACATATTATTTCATTCCATTAAATTATTAAATACATTCCTATGGACATTTTATTATAGATTTATCATCATCATAAGCCTTTATAATATTTTTAATTCTAATGAAGTAATTTTCTAAAGTTTTTTCTATGTTCCCATTATCAACCGATTATACAAATCAAACTTGTCTTGTCTTCGTTTGATGATAAAAATTAAAACACATCATTAGCCTGCCTGCCCCCAGCATTATATAATATTATACAATTACACGATGCCACGATATGTGTTATAATAATATTATAATATAGGTGCTTTCTCCCAATGGCCTATGTTGCCGCAGGATAATTAATAAAAAAAAAAAAAATATAGGTGCGATAAGTGTTTGTTTGTTAAATTTTCCAACTTGTATTTTGTATTGTGATTGCTCAAATCGGAAGTTACGTCAACAATAATTGTATCCATTAAGTGTTGGGATTAGATAAGTTATTTTTTTTTTATCAAGATCACGTTAAATGTACGATGCTCGCGCCATTACGTAGAACCTTTTCATTTTGTATATTATACACCTCACTAATTATGTGTAGGATGAACACTGATAGATCAACAAGTGCACAGTTGAATATTGAACAAATTTTTGCAAAAAATCGGACATAGAACCTTTTTGTTCTCGATAAGTCTCGACACTGCGAAGACACATTGATCACACACGTTACGATAAAGGCGTAAAAGTAAACCGTCAAGGTCGTCTCGTACGGACTGCAGTGTTGTCGGATAATATACTTTTTTTATTTAAGTGTAAAAAATTCGAAAAAAGTAATACGTGACTAGCGTTTTAATAGGAACAAGTTTACCTAAGTTTGTGCAGACCGATATGGCTGATCGGTCTGCTGATTTCGCGCTATGTTCTCTGAGGGTATTTCGAGGAAAATCACACCGTAAGCCTTCAAAAGGTTTTTACTATAATAGGTATGACGACGATTCTTGTTTCCTTTTTTCCTTTCAATGAAAACATTATTATATTGCGTCTCGCCGATACACTGCAACCCAATGATTACCTGTTTCAAAAAAACTAAAACCTCATTGAAACGAGACTTGATATTTATTAAATTAAATTTTTTCATTGTTACGATTTACAGCCCGGGCGGGTAATTAGTGCAGACAACGTTATACATTAACTAGGGCTCGAATTTGAAAAGAAAAAAATGTCCATTTCATGTTATTTACAATTCAAACGTTACAAAATTTTTGCGTTTATCGTTATTCGGAACTGAAACGTTATCTAACGTGTGCTTTTATCACTATTTAAAATATTGTTGATACCTATTACATTTAAAAATGACAACCAATACGGGTAGGTAATCGTCTGG